TTCGGTCGCACGAACCACCGATCCCTCAAAACTCTTCATCTTGCGCTGGAGTCTGCGCAGCTCCGAAGCCTTGGACTTCTTTGCATCCTTCTCCTTAAGCAAAGAGATCGCGGTCTTTCCGAGATCGCCCTCCAAGTCGCAAATCCTAGCCTCGAACCGAGACACCTCCGCGGAATGCACGTCCTCTATCACCTTCAATATCCCCTCAAGCTGAGCGGACCTCTCCTGCGACTCAGCCAACTCCTTGGCTAAACGCTCAACTTCGGACCCACACTCTTTGATCAACCCATCGATCAACAAAACAAACTAGAAAAGTCATGATAGACGGTCAGATACGAATTAAAATTATAGTCTTTTTAATCGTATGCGCGCAAACCCGTACCTTGGCACGGTGTTGTGACATTGAAACCAAGCTCGGCGCCTTGCTTGAAGAAGCTCCAGTCTCCGAACCCTTTTTGCCTCTCTTTCTCTTCGGAGCATCGAGGTTCGGGAAAGGTCTCTTACGACCTTTGGCTGGAGCAGGCAGCGTCGCACTAAGCGCCGGAAGTCCCAGAACAATCACCCTCTTGGCCGGAGGAGGAGGCCTCAGAGTCGTAACCGGTTCGACCATGGTAACAGACGCAACCGGTTCGACCACGAAAGGAGCCGCAACCGGTTCAACCGCGGTAGGAGCTGCAACCGATTTGACCACGATGGGAGCCGTAACCCTTTCAACCTCGGTAGGAACCGCTACATTTTCGACTACAGAAAGGGGCGGAACAGTGGACGAACCCGACGGTTCGATAACGACACCCGTCGAGGAGTTCAGTACCATATCCGCCGTTTCGTCCAAAATAACCTTAACCTCTTTTGAAAGAACGGACGGGTCCATCGGGGATACGCCACTCGGCACCATGTTCTCCTCAGCATCGCTGCGATCCATCTTCTCTTGAAACAAGAGAAACTCGGAGATACGAGCATGCTGCGAATGTGCCATAGGGTTGTCGCCAGCTGGGACCTCATGGTTTTGTTGATCACCTTGGGAAGAAGACATCTTGAAAATTTTCTAGAGAGAAGTTGGAGAGAAACTTGAGAGATGAAAGATATGAGGAGTAATGATCCAATACTTATAGAAAAGAAGCGCTCATCCCTCGTAATTAGACAAATCGCAGCCATGGATTCCGATTAAACCAACTCCAGCCGCCCGCAAAAACTTTCTCCGAAACTTGCGAGCTGGGGAGATAACTGTTGGTGTCAAAAACGGTAATCTTGAAATCAATGTCTACGATAACCTTTGTAAAAGATAGAATCATTACTTTCTGCGGAATACAAAAATAGTTTTATAAAATTCAAGAAAATCGTTTTATAAAACTATTTAAATCGTTTTATAAATCCAAAAGAAATCTCCGAACAAAGAAAATCCGTGGAAAAGCTTCGGAAGTCGTTATCTCGAAAGAACGAAACAAACGTCGATTACACGATCGTCCGAGTTAAGCGCAAAACCACGAAAAACCGAAACCGCCGTAAAACGCGGGCTAGTCCCGACACGACTAGCTCGCCGTTCGGCAAGCTAACCTCGTCCTAACTAGCTCGCCCAACGGCGAGCTAAGCAAGCTGGCTCAGTTCGCCGTTCGGCGAGCTGAACCGGTCCGGTTCGGTTCGCCGTACGTCGAGCCGACCGTCCCGAGCCTCGATATCCCCCATCCCCGATTCAAGGCTTACGGCCTTCGACACGATCATGTTCCGAACTACGGTAGAAATGTCTCCCGATTCGTCTCGATCCGTCCTATCGTTCGAGTTTTACGATAAAAAGGATTAACATTATTATGAAAATCTTATTAATAAATGTATGAGTAAGTATACTATAAAAAGTAACATTTTTAAATGAAAAATTTTATACTAACAAAATATTTTAGTAAAATTATAATTAAATATAGTCAAATGCTTATAATAAAATTTTAACATTATTACTATACAATGTATAAAACTATCATCACTTATCATTAATGAAACTGAAAGCATAACAGAGTACAACAGTGGTATGGTTTGCTAGTAGCTGATTTCTTTATGTTGTATTTGTGCTATATTTATATGTTATGCTAGTAGATTATTTCTTTTTGTTGTGTTTTTGCCATATTTATATGTTAAGTTTGTTAAACAAATGATGCCTTGATTGTCAAAACAAATTTGAGTTAAATAAATTTAAAAAGTTCACTAAAATTTTAAATTAGTTTATAAAAATTTAATGTATTTATATTATAAATTTACATGATATTAAATAAAAATATAAAATACATATTATCTTGTTTAGATTATCCAAAAACATTGGATCGACACTACTTAGAACATCTTCAAAAGGAACTCTATAATTTCAAATATAGAGTTTTTTCTCACCAAAAAAGAATTTCAAACTTCAAATTTCAAATTCCATTTTTTGTTTGCATTTTGGTTCTTACAATTAGAAATAAAATTCTTAATTAATAAATATTTTCTCGTTTATCGTTTTAATCCTTAAAATTATAATCTCATAAATATTTCAAATTATTTTTAATTTTTTACAAATTTAAGTATTACACATAATATTTTAAAGCTAGAATTATACTACAAGAATATTACAAAATAAACTTTTTGCTTGTATCTTTTTTTTAAAAAAGAACTCAAAAAGTAAAACTAGAATTAGATAACAAGAATGCAGTATTTTTTTTTTTTTTGATAATCCAGGGGTTCCCCACTTCGTGGATCTTTCCCCTAGGTCCGGTTAGGCAGCGGTTCACTTCACCCGGGAGGGCTTTACCTGGGCTTGGGATAAGGTCCAACACCCAATACCGCATTTGGTGACAAGAATCGGTAGTTCCCCTCCGCCTGGCGTCGAACCCGTGAGCATGACAATTCGCTCACAGGATCCTTAATAAACGAGAGCTACTTCATCCCATCAAGAATGCAGTATTTTGCTTGTAGTTAATATTAATTATGCATTTGTATTTATAATTTTATATTGTAGTGTAAGATTTTATTAATTAATATTGCTGTATAATTATTATATATGTGTTTGTTATTTATAAAAAGGTTTATAAATTTTCATTAACTATGATAAATATAAGGACCATTGTATAAAAACTATATAACTTTGAAATTAAGTTTGAAGCTTTACTTTTGGAAAAAAAAACACCATGAAACTTCAAATATAAAATTTTGCAAATTTAAAAACATATAATACTTTTGGAGATACTGTATATAGTATATACTACTAAGAACTAATGAGTACACCTCAAAAAAGAACAATGGTCAAAGAAAAATAGTTAACATATTGTGTAGTACGATTTTCACCATGCTTTTATTTTGTTTAATATAAAACAATTATTCTAGATTATCATTTTTGTTAAGCAATTTACAACTAATTTAAAACTCGTTTTCCGTATAATTTTGTTTTTAGCACTAACTTAATTAATCATCGAGATCTGATCTCTGCTTTTAATTAGATCAACACCATATATTCCCTCTGTTTTTTTATATCTGACATTTTAGAGTACATTTTAAAAAAAATTATTTGATGTTTTCAATTTTCTATATAAAATTTGTTAATAATTAACGTTGGATACCACTGATATTATAGTTTCTATTTGATTATAGATTGAATTATGGTTAGGTTAACAGTTAATGATGTTTGGTTTAGAAAATGAAAGAAAATTAATCTATGTCCATAATCCTAAAACATCAAATATACAAAAAAGGGACAAAGTACTAATAAACATTTATTTTTGTTTAATTAGTATTAATCCTGTTCTGTGTTACATTTTATAGGTTAATTTAACAGAAACTCAACCTGCTTTTGTTTTATATGAAAATTGGCAAATATCTTTTACATAGTCCCTTGAAACCTACCGGACAGTTTCATATCGTCATTTTCACTTTCGCTCAATAAGACTTCATTTTTTGTTTTGTATAGACACAAAGGTTTGGTTTTTCTAATCATCATTTTGATAATTTTAAAATCCCACAACTGCGACCAAGTCCCTTCTCACTCTTTATATAAACTAGGGCTGGGCATTCGGGGTCCCAATCGGGTTTCGGTTCGGGTTCATTCGGGTTTCGGGTTTTCGGGTTCATGAATTTCAGCCCCATTTGGATATTATAAAAATTCGGGTCGGATTCGGTTCGGGTTTAATCGGGTTCGGTTCGAATTTAGTAACATGTCCAAAATCCAGTTGAACCCGAAATAGTTTCTGTTTCGGATACTTATTGGGTTATCGATTCTAAAAATACTAATTTATACTCAATTAAATTCACTATCTTTACAATCTTTTTATTAAATTGTGTATTTAGCTTCTACAAACCGTATTTGTTCTGCTTCTAAATAATATTATGAAACTCATCTATCAACAATATAAGATTTGTCATTGAACTATATGTGACAACACTAAACATATCATGATTAATGATAAACCAAAGTCTTGTATGAACGAAAATCATACATAATGATACATAAAAAGTTAAAGTTAACAATTAACAATTACATAAACGTAAGAACTAATATTGAAAATTAAAAAACAACATTATTTAAACTTCAAAACAAATTTATTCGTAACTTAACTTCAAATGTAGTGTCAATCATAAACATTAGTAACAGCCAAATAACACTATATATTAAACTAAATATTTGAGTTAATTATTCATATCATAACTAATTATTATAGGTACTCAATAATATATTAATGTGTTTTGGAAACATATTAAAAATTTAGATTGAGTATGATATAAGTTTTTTTGGAATTTTAAAGTTTCGGGTTATTTCGGATATCCATTTAAGTTCGGGTTCGGTTCGGATAAAACCCATAACCCGAAATACCGTAAAACAAGATCCATTCGGTATTTATGTCGGGTTCGGATCGGTTCGGATTCCTTTTTATCGGGTCGGGTTCGGTTCGGATTTTCGGATTTCGGTTTTTTTGCCCAGCCCTAATATAAACAACTCTTCTCTCGTACACAACTTGGTGTCAAACTACAAGTTAAAAGAATAAAAGAAAAACCGAAGCAACAACCTATGGATGTGTCAAGTGAGACGGTGGAGAGAACCGATCTTCAGCAACCATTGGTGGACCGGACGGTCTCCGAGCCAAAACCTCCCAAAGATGTCGGACTCGAGACCGTTTTAACGGATAGTAGACTTTCATGTCGGAGGCGCGTGTACTTAGGCGCGTGCATAGAGTTGAAATTACTCTTCCGGCTGGCACTTCCGGCCATACTAGTCTATCTTTTCAACATCGGAATGAGTATCTCCGCTCGTATATTCTCCGGACATCTCGGCGGTCAGGAACTCGCCGCCGCATCCCTCGGAATCAGCTGCTTCTCTCTCGTCTATGGCCTCATGGTACGTTTTTCCACTACACGTTTTTACATTACACTAAACGATGAACGGTATAACTAAATGAGTAAAACTTTTTGGTAAAAAGTTATTCAATGTGCACAAAATGACTACGACTTTTCTGAACGTCATACAATGCAAATTCCTTTTTTTTATTATCAGAGTTGTTAAGACTGTGATACAAATGTTCAAAAAAAGAAACAGTGATGTACAGCGAGTTGTAGAAGCAAACACTTTAGCTGGTACAATTGTTTTTCTTCCATATTCGGTCAGCGTAAACAAGTCGCTTAGTTGAAAACTGAAGATAAAAAATTGCACTCATCTATAGCGTTTACATTAAACTAATAATACTTATTGTGTTTCTTAAATAGTGTTATTTTCTCTTCTTTTTTCTTGTTTCAACAAATGTCATTTCACATTTCAATGTACTTTTATATAAATTATCTTTTTGACATTTTCAAACAAGGAGTCAATTTTTATTTAAACACTAGTTGCATATCCCTGCGCAAGCGCGGGGCCTGAATCATTGATGTTTGTTTGTGTTTTTTGCGGTTGTTGGTTTAGTGGGTTATTCTAATAATACCAAATAATGATGAAATGGAAAGAATGTAACAAGAGTGTAAAGTGAAAATATTATATATATAATGTGTTAAGTGTTAATTATTTATATGCGAAGTAAGGTTATAAGGATAACTAAATTATAACATAATTTCTAGTGTATAAAAATAGGTGTCTATCTTTTTTTATGTTGGAAATAGTTTTTATATCAGAGATCAAAACTTGATATAATTATTTATTTATAGTATTTATATTTGTACTAAACGATTTATCAATTTGAAAATAACTTTAATTTAAGCTAATATTTGTTGTTTGGGTTTCAATAGATAGGTTTGGATATATTTTTTTTTTAAGTTTGGATTTTGTTCATGAATAATGTGGCATTTTTATTTACGGCGTCATCGACTATGGAAATCCATTCGCCGGAATCTGTTAAAAATGAAATTATAGTAAATATTAAAAATTGAAGAGAAATTACATAGTTAATTTATAAATAACAAAAAATACTTAATTTTGTTTTTTTTATTTCACATACATAATTTTTTGAAAATATATATTAGGAAATATGTTCTAACATAAAATATATATTAGGACATGATAGCGCCGCGTGGGACTCGTTTTGTTTTTTGTTTTTTGGGATGTTCATTTTTTCATCCATTTTTAATTGTTTTTGGGTTTGAGTTCGTCAGACTTTAGGATTTTTTCTACTATTTTGGGATTTAAACAATAAGTCCAGAGGTAACAAACATTAAAACTAAAAAATCCATATGATAATAATACAAACGAAAAAATTAAAATACATAACACCTGCGTGGTTTGAACCCACATGCTTGCAGATTTAATTAGATGCCTCATACCACTTTGCTAAAGTATATTCATTGTTTATAGTCATTTTAAAAAAAATTATAAGCTTTTAAAATTTAAACTCGCGGGATCCACAAACTTGCTGACGTAGACAGTTTTAGGAGCTTTAGAAGTGAACTATTATAATATAGATTTCCATTTAAATAATTATGCATTTAATGACGGTACATATACTAAGAATATGATTAACCTCACCTCTTATGCGGTTCTTAAGAGGTGGATCCCATAGTTTTATTAAAAATCAACCTTTAAATCTCTTCTGCAAGAGGTGCCTCTTATTCTGTTGTTACACTGTTCACGGACTCTACCAACACATGGCAACCCGTGATTGGTTAGTTTTAATTTTTCTTTTATAAAGGAAAAAAAAAAGCAAAAAAGTTAAGAGCCAAATTTTGGCTCTAAAGGTTAATAGCGCTCTAATATATGTCTATTTCATGTATAATTACTTAAATGTTACTTCGACACATTTCATGCAGAATAAGAAAGTAATAAAATATACTAATATATCTCTATTTAATGTATAATTATTTAAATTAAAATGATTTAATACAAACTAGATTTTGATCCGCACACCCGTGCGGATATTTATTTTAACGTTTAAAAACATACAATATATGTTTATTTTATAAATATTATTATATTAGCTTTGAATTATTATTTGTATTGAATGTTATTTTGTTTTTGTTATATACTATTGTTATACAATACTTAATGTTGTTTTGTATCCACAGACTTTTTGGCATATAAAATCACTAAAAATAAGTAATTAATTATTTGAAGGTTTATTTATTTTTATGTCATTCTATATTATTCATGTACACTAATCTTTAAAATTTAAGAAAATATATGTGTTATTTAATATAAACAGTCTACTTATTTTTGGACAGGAAATAAATGATATGTTTTAATATTTACAACTTGGTAAAATGATTTTATACTTTTTGTTCATATTATTTGTATTAGTTTATATATACAACTAAATTACAGATAGAATTAATTAATTGTTTACTTTAATATATTTTGTTAAAATATATTGTCATTTTATACTACCATTAATGTTGACCATAAATAAAATTAAAAGATTGTATTTGTAAGGAAGATTTTGTTAAGTGGTATTAACTGTAAATAATTGTAATTAAACTGTTAGTTTAATGGTTTGTTCATTTTTACAATTCAGTTTTAATAATATATATTAATTATTTGTTAAAAAGGTAAAATTATTTATATAGGAAGAGTTACATTCGAAATGCAGAATGACATTTAAAAAATCAAGATAAATGCTGAAATGACATTTTTAAAAATACATAGAGTATATTTTATCACTTTTTAATATGCGTGTCAAAATAACACTTTTTACTAAACAAAAAATGTAAAAATTAAATTCTATACAGCTGACTACAACAATTGATATTTTCTTCGGTACCTCGAAATCTAGAAATAAAATGTTATAAAAGCTAATCTTACCTAATCTTATAAACACACACTAGAGATTAACCCGCACTCCTGTGCGAGTGTTAATATAAATTGATATTTTATTTTTATAATTGTTATATATTTTATGTGTCATTAAATAACTAATTGAATATTTTAAGTTGCTATATATCAAAATCTAACCCGAATCAAATCAGATAATATGATTATTTTATTTTTTAAAGTTATTCTTAGTTTGAATTCAAAATACTTGAAACAAATCGGTTAATATGACTATCTTTGGTACAGCTATCAGAATTTTTGGATACATAAGTTTTTGGATATTTTTAAGGTTTTTATACATCAAAACCAAATTTATCCGGATTATATATTTAGGCAAAACAATAAATGAATTGAATAAAATAAATAAAGTGATTACAATAAGTGAAGTGATTATTTAGAAACAAAGAATAAACGAAGTGTAATGAAAAATCCGTAAAAAATCACATAAAATAGACAAGCATTGTTTTATACTTCTGTTCTGTTTTAATAGAATAGATATACGGAAATTAGTTTTCAAAGTAACATTAGTATTCATCTAGTTAACTACTCAGTGTTCATAGCGACCAAAACTTATATGTGCAGCTACTTTATACATTTTTCCAACAATCTAACCAAATTAAAAAGTGTTGTAAGCTGATTTTTGTTCATATCAGTGTTATTAATATATTGACATGGAATTAATACTGTACTACTGAACAAACAATTATCAAATACTCCATCTGTTTCTATATATATAGATGATGTTTCGGGAATGTTGTGTTATTTCATAGTGTAGGATGTCTGCACAAATTTAAACAACTTCACTTTATCAGTTCTATTTATTATTAAATAGAGGGATTATTTTTAAATTATATTTTAGTAATACTTTGATAAAAAGTATTTTTTTAATATATCTGCAGTGGGGTTAAATATCATGTAATATAAATAAGAGGGGGTACTGAGGTAAAATATCATGTAATATAAAAAAAAAAGACTAAAAGAGTATTTTAAAACATTTGCAAGTAACTCAGAAGTACTCAGAACTAATATATATTTTCACAAATCTAAATACCTTTGATTTATCAAGCTAATAGTGTTTTTCTTATTTCTATTTATCATTAAAATTAATTTTAAATTTTATGTCAGTAATACTTTTGATAGCACCGAACTGAGTCAAACCGAACCAAACCAAACCAAAATCTATTATCAAATAGTTCGGTTTAAATGTTTTCCCAATCCAAACCAACCGAACCGAAACAAATCGAAACCAAACCAAATTAAACCGAACCAAGAAACCAATATGTTTTTGTTATTATTTAAATTAAACATATTAGTAATACACAACATATTAAAATCCTAACACTAAAGTTACTATCAAGTATATTAACGATGTTGTTTTTTTTAATTTTCTATTTACTTTACTTAACTTTGATTTGATTGTGTTCTTATATTTTTTGTGATTTTAAAAGATTTTTGTTTCAGGTTAATATTAGATTTAATATACATATTGATTTTTATTTTTATTATTTTTATTTGTTTTAGTTAACTTTGATTTGATCATGTTCTTATAATTTTTTGTGAGTTTAAAAGTTTTTATTTCTATTTAATATAGGGTTTAGTTTACGTAGTATATTTTTTCATAGTCACCAACATGATGATTTCATGATCATGCCTTTATGTTTTAAATAGGATTTCTCTTAAAAACACTAAACTAAGGAAATCCTATTAAACCGAACCGATACACACACCAAACCGAATAGAAACCATACCGAAACCGGTTCCAACTAATTATGATTTATTTTGGTTAGACAAATTTTAGAACTGAAGTAACCAAACCGAACTAAACCCAAACTGAAACGATAAAATAACCAAAGTGCCCACCCCTAGTATAATTAAAATATATATGACAATTAATGATTCTGGATTATAATTTTTGATACCAAGTTTTGTATTCTCCATCATTTTTGTTTTGTTTTGTATTACTATAAGAAATTAAAAAATCAAATTAACCATATAATAAAAAATTAGATTTTTTCTTATATGTTATATTTTGGATTATCTTAAATGACTATATATTACAAAAAGTGTTAAAAGTCCCACAATTAATTTTTTATCAATAGTTTAACTTTTTTTTATAACAAAATACAAATATAAAATCATATGAATATGGAGTCGCATTTAGTAGATACTCAGATTATATATATATATATATATATATATATATATATATATATATATATATATATATATATATATATTTAATATGGTTTAAATATTTATATCTCAAATAAAAATACATAAATATGTTAATATCTAAATTTGGATTGAAGATTTATTGAGACCTTAATATCTTTTTTAATTTTGAAACTTGCACGGATTTTTTTATTAAAAAAATGATTATACTATTAAAAATATCATATTGGAAATTTTATGATTAATGGTGTAAATTTTATTTTATAACGAACATACAAATGTTAATAATTATATGAGTAGCAGCCTCAACTAATTAATATTCATATTAAAATACATTGTGCATCTATGTCAATATCATTTAAATTTAATTATATATCATATAAAATAAATAAAATGATTTTTTTATTTATTTAGCAAGAAAAATATTCTAAATAAACAAGATGATTATTTTTATATATGTACTTCTCCAATTTAATTATATACATAATAGTTATTTGTATCTCAATTATTCAATATACTTAATATTTCATTATACGTAAATGAACACAAAATAAATAAAGGAGAATTTGAATTTTACCTTTCATTTAATATTATTATTCATTTTTTACCTTCTCAAAATGAACATTTTCGAATATTATATAAATAAAAACAAATTTTTATATTTTTCGAGTTATACTTTCTCAAATTCAAATTTTTATAATTTTCTTTATGATTTTTTTAGGAAATTTTTTTTTTCAAATTTTCTATTTAAAATTAAAAAATTCCTTTTGAAACTATTTTAATTTTAAGTGTTTATTTATGTATTTATTAAAATTCTAAACCATTTTCCTTAAGTTTTAATCCTAAGTCAAGATTAATTAACCCTAAATTTATTAGAATCTATTTAGCTCTTTAAAACCAAAGATAATCGTGGTTAACAAAAACATGAAAATGAGTATTGAAAAAATGGTAGTGTAATCAATTTATCAATAAAGAATATTCTATAAAAATAATTTATATACATAATTTTCATCCCTCGCAAGATACAGACCTTAACATATTTTCTTAATATATGTGAACTAAGGTAAGATATCATGTATATAAAATAAAGGAAGTACTTTAAAACATTTGCAAGAAACTACTCGCAAGTAATTTATTACTCTTCTGTAACAAGTCAAGTACGAGCTTAAATTTATTTTACTTATAGAAAGGAGAAAAAAAAATTGACGCTACTTTTGCAAAGGTAAATTAAGTATCAATTATACGTAAAATATCAAGTGCATAGCTTGTGTCTTTCCTAACATTATATCATTTGTATATATAACAAAACATTATATATATTTTTTTTTTTTGCTTCATTTCAGTTAGGCATGGGCAGTGCAGTCGAGACACTATGTGGACAAGCCTATGGAGCCAAACGGTATGATATGCTTGGGATCTATCTCCAAAGAGCAACAATTGTCCTCGTTATAGTGGGTTTGCCCATGACAGTGCTATACACCTTCTCATTCCCGATCCTACTTATGTTAGGCG